TGACAATGAAGTAAATAACCCCCTTGGAATGAACACATCTATGCAATGGTGGAGACACTATTGACATTCAATGTAAGATCCACCCTTGACTGACACTCCAGCATTATTAATTTTCTTATCCCACCCCACCCACCCGCGGTACCCATCAAGGGGCGGTACTCACCAAGGGGGGTTGGAGGATCTCCCACTGAATCCTTTGTGTGTTTTCTGGCCTGCACCCACAGGTTACAATACTTTTAACCACCCTCCCTCCCCTGAGGAAGCCAAAGTGCAAAACGGGTAGAGAATCAGGACCAAGCACAACTATATCTTCAGACCATACATCAACCAACTAAAGAGAAGAAAAAAAACCTTACAGTTATCTTATGTATATAAAGTAACATGATGGACACATTATCTTGATATAGTTATGGTCCTGGGTGGGTTCATATTGCTTCCAGGTTTTATCTGTGGGAAATATGTCTCCACTTCTTGTCTTGGAGACGTAGCAGAAAGTGAGATGATATCCATATTTCCAATGTGAAATACCCTCTTAGACAGTTGTTATGGGTACAAGTGTCTGCATTGGAAGATTTCTCCTCTATCCCTGTTTTGATGAGAACTCAAAATTTTGGATTTACCCTCTATTTCATTGCTGGTGACACTGGTGATCAGAACAATTTGAGAGAGAGAATCTCCCTAATGGGGACACAGACGGTAATGAGAACCAAGCAGTGGTACAACTCTATACATGCTTAAAAAAAGTTTTGCATTGAGTTTGAATTGAAAGTGATATTAAAGTCAAAATTATTTTAAAATATTTCAAATGCTGATGAGATCACTTACAATGGATGCTGCTCCTTGATGTTTAAAAGTTTTAGTTTCCTCACTGTCAAAGCACCAATACTAGGTGCTGCTCCAGGTCGGTTCACTTGGATCTGCTGACAGGGTGCTTATTTCCAGTGTAAAGGTGACACTGGGGGTCTTTTGGACCCCCAGCATCACCTTAAAGAGTACCTCACCTCGGCATCAGGTGCTTCCTCTACCTGGATGGACCATGCATCAAAAAAAAGTGGAAACTCGTAGTGCAGATGGTTTTAAAATGTTATACACATGTATCACATTGTTTCATGGCCAGTAACTATTATATCTGATACTTTGTAGATTTATTCACACAGCGCGGCTTTTATTATTAATTTTATGCTACGCACAGCTGTTCCAGATTTTGTCTGCTCCTGTTTTGATAAATCCCCCCCTGTGTATTTAGCTGTTTGCCTGTTATTCTTCAAATAGTACCTGCATATTTGGGACTTGATAGTGTAGGGGGGCTTTTGGAAGGTGTGACACTTTCAGCCTCACCATGCACAGAGATTTTCAAGCCCGTGGGACAGCAATGCAAGGCCAGCAGACTGAGAGCGATTGTCATTGGGTTTCGATGACCTCGTGGTTAACCACTTACACGCACAAACAGTAGCTGTCACTACATGTGTTAATGGAAACACGCACCGTTCCCAGCAAATGCTGTGTAAATTTCAGCCTTAGGCAATGCCTGAGATGCTCGCTGTCCTTTGAGAGAGGAATACACCATATTTTCCGGCGTATAAGGCGACTGGGCGTACCCCCTACTTTTTCTGTGAAAACATAGGTTTTGGGCTATACTCGTCTTATACGATAAAATAATGTTTGAATACACCCACTAACCTCCATGGCGGTATTCCTGAGTGTGGCTCGGGGTTAATTTTCAGTACCATAAGAGGTAGCCACGAGCCACACTCGGGATTACAGTCTCTTACCTTGTCCACGATCCCCGATGTGTCCTTTTGTCTTCCGGGTTCCGTCCGTTGCGATCGTCCGCATCGCAGGGGGGCGGAACCGGCGGCAATTTTAAAAGTACAAAAAAAAATAGAACTAAAAAATAAAAATAAAAACATCAGACCGCCAGGGAGGCTAATCTGTCCAGTATTGCCGCTGGAGGTGCTGTAATACTGTATGTACGTTAGCTTCGGCTACATACAGTATACCGCGCTGAGCCAATCACGGCAGGCTTTGTATTCATTAATACAGGCTTTGTACGATAGCTTCGGCTACATACAGTATTACCGCACACCCATACCCGCTGTATAAGACGACCCCCGATTTTCAGGGGATGTTTTTAGGTCTAAAAACTCGTCTTATACGACGGCAAATATGTTAACAGGTTTTACAATATGGTAGCCCTCTTCAGAGACAAGGATTCTTCATTTCTTATTTAGAGTGTAGAGATAAAGCTTAATGATTTTAAATTATAATTTAATGAAGAAAAAAGAAAATGGTGCTGAATAATATACAGAAAAGAGACCAACAATACAACAGCAAACAAAAATGGAATAAGAATGAAATTACTTAGCCCAAGTCCTGGGTTCTATGGGGTCCAGCAGAGTTTAGTCAATGAAAAATAAAATGGATCCGAGATTGTCTCTTTACAAAAAAGTCTCTTGGCAGATGTTCTTTTTTTGATGGTATAGGAGAGCTCTAGCTACCTTGTCCAGCAACTTTTTGTGGGCCTTCTAGAGGGCATTACTGAGCCAGCCCCCCACCCAATCAAAAAGGTCCACAATGTCACTTTTCTAGATGTCTTTATATTTGTATTTTATCACATGCTACAGTCTGATAATATATAGATTATTGTGCAGTACCAACTTGGGATTTTGGAAAAACTTGGTAGACATCTGATATACAGTACTGTATGACTTCCTTAGAAGGGGTAATGTGTGCCTTTGGCTTCCGTACCTCATAAGGCGAGGGTGCATGGTATGTATGTAACCAGGGGCATATCCACCACAAGGCGTTTGCATAGGTGGTACTTTCCAGGTGGCACAAAACGCCACCCCTAAATCAATGTGGTGAGCTGGGCCACACAGAATCAGGCAAAGAGAGCTGCTGGCTGGAGAAGGAGGCGGGGCTGGAGGCGAGGATGAGCTGCAGGAAAAAGCTGCGGGCGGCACAGGGCTGCCCATACCCTACCATCTGACAATGGGATGTCACAGAGGCAGGCTGGGGGACTTCATGGAAGTGGAGCAGCACATGTGTGTAGGGAAAGGGACCCTGCACAGCCAAGCATAGATCCTGCACACCCCACCTGAGTCCAGGTGAGTCTCAGCTGGACTGTGCAGGGTCTGTGGTAGGCACTGCAGGGTCTCAGGTGGGCTATGCAGCTTCTATGGTGGGGTCTCAGGTGGGTTGAGCGGGGTCTGTGGTGGGCTCTACAAGGTCTCTTTGGCATTAGCCAATCAGGGCTTCACAAGGCGAACACACGCACTGCCGATATTCAAGTTGAACTCTTGCTCGGTTCGAACATCGAGCCCATTCCTACTTACCAGTTTTGGGGTGCTCAGACCTCATTACTGGCACACACCAGCCTATACTTTTTTTTCAAGCCTTGAATAGAATATTTAAAGAAGAACTCCAGTGAAAATTATTATTAACCCTTGGAATGGGGCTACCCCTGCACTGCAAGGGTTAAGTACTTGTTTTGGTCTAAGAAGGAAAATAACAAAGTTATACTCACCTGAACCGGCTTGGTCTTAGACCAGTCCCTGGAGCTTCTCTTTCCCTCCACTGCAGCGGTCTTAGATCTTGTAAATCATCATGTTCTATACACATGTATAGAGTGTGAGGACGCTGATGGACATTCCATTACCGCAGAGTAGGAGGAGAGAGGCTGAAGGGAGCACTGTCACAGCTGTCTGGATCCAAGGATCGGGTGAGTATATCTTTATTATTTTCCTCCCTAAACGAAAATGCACAGTTAACCGTTTAAGTACGGGGTAGCACCACTGCAAGGGTTAATAATAATTTCCCCCAAAGTTCTGCTTTAAACCCCTGTTGATCTCCCCTGAACACAGAAGGGCTTCTTCCCAGACATGGAAGGAAGCTCCTTTCATCCAGACTATCAGCTGTGGATGGGGAATTCAGCTGCTTGATGTAAGTAAAGAGGTTGGGGTGTACTGACAATCATAGACCTTATATGGCTAAATTGCCATACAGTGTAAATAATGTCAGAACAAGCATCCTGGCATACCTTATGGTAAGCTGTGGGGCAGGTAACTCCCCAACCCATAGCCGATTGAGCGGGAGGCCCATATAGCTTCTGGGTTTGTTTCAAACCTGAGCTCATCCCCACTGTTGAGTTTTAATGGATGTCTTTGTGCCTGTCTGGGGAGGTTTCCTTTAACTTCTTGCTGTGTCTCACACCCACCATGTAGACAAGTAGCAATGGGAAATTATCTAATAAAAGTCACATTCAACAATAAAAACCCGACCCTTCCCAGTTCAACTAAAAAATGTTTTAATTGGTCCATGGGTCCTTGCTGGAAAGATTTTTTCCTTACGTTCCATCACTGTGACACACTTCAAAAAGACAGGCATTGAGGTTAAATTTCCCCAGTGCCGCTGACAGAGGAGCTAACCTCTCCCCAACCTTCGGCAGGTTTTTTTCCTCACTGAAAAGTTTGGATTGGAGCTGGGCCAACAAAACTACAAACAAAGCCTTAGATACACAACCTTGTTTAATATGTCAAATTAATTGTCACAACCCTTAAAGACATAAATTAAAAAACAAGCCAAACAGGTAATATCAGTCTGTGGAAGAATGCAGTTGGGTAGGTTATTAAGAAAAAATACTATAAAAGGTAGCACCAGACTGAACGGATCAGAGGTCCACTATTGGAAGAGCGTCTAAAGTGTATCTGGTAAGAGGACTATTCTTGTCCTTCTCTCTCTCTCTCTCTCGCTCTCTTTCTCCTTTTTCTATATATGTATATACTGTATATTATATAACAAAGAAGATTTTATAGCAGAACCCGAGGTTATTGGCGTTTTTAATACTTTTCCTAAATCAACAGGAGACTATGACATATTTATATACTGTATGTGGCATTACCTTTTTATGGTTTCCGTTCTGTATGCTAAATATTATCATGCTGGGCTTGGTATAGCTGTATAGCATCCATTTTTGAAAACCTGTCTTTTTTGCTCAGGTGAAGATGTTGGTGCACGATCTTCTAGTGCTCTCTTTGGCACTTGGTGCAGCTTTTGCTGACAAATGTGGTAAGTATATTTCTTGTGTAGAAAAAACTATTATCTACAACTTAGGTGCTCAGTTATTTTTATTCTGGCATCCAAATGTCAGTCTGTTATTCTGTATTGTTGTTTGCTGGGTCTAAGACTCTCAATGCGATTCCAACTACAAGGTTATGGATATCTAAGAACCTCAAAACAAATTATGTGACCCCAGCCCAAGTTTCAACAATGTGTGCATGTCTGTCTTCAAAGCTACCAATGCAGACATTCAAACTAGCATGCTTTGCATGCCGGCATTGCTCTACTCATTTACTTCTTATGCAGACCGGTGAAAAAGGCTTTTCATGCTAAAAACACTGTAAAACCTGTAAAAGTTAAATTTCAAGCCACTGTTTTGGCATTTGTTCTTGATCTGGTTAATGATTCACAGCATGGTGAGACCTGGGTGGTAATTAAGACCAGCATATGATGTGTCTTGCTGAAAAAAAGATCTGAAGATTACTGGCAGGTTATACAGTGTGTATGAATACAAACTTATATCTGCCCAGAAGTAAAAATCATCTCTAAAATGTATATTTAATTACAAGTTGAGGTTTTTGATTATATTTAAATAAGTGCCTCTTTAGAGTTTCCAAGGTTCTGTAGTGGTCCTTTATTTTATATTCACTGTGATAATTCTGGCAACATAAAAAATGTTGTAGATGTTTGTACCTTTGCAACTTGCATGACTCTCTACAGCACTGCAATGACTATACAGTAACCAACATTTGAGAAAAATTAGGAGGGACACCTTGCAGGGAAGGAAAGGAAAACACAAGTTGCCTGCCACGCTAGTGGGCTTGGCAAATAAAGTGGGCATCACTTAATTGCATATGAGGGTACATTGAGGAAAGCGTGGGAGTAAAAAAAAAGCTACGTTGCTGCTGTTAGTGGCAGTAATAATGACTTCTATTAATGGTGTTACCAGAGCCGTAGCTAGCTCCTTTTGCTCCCGAGGCAAGAACAGAAAATTGTGCCCCCCAACAGACCTGTGCAGTATGTCACATCATGCGCCCTGCCTCCAGGATGGTGGAGCACATGCGCTGATGGCCAAATCCAAAATAGCATAAAAATGTGTTTCGTTTGACGAAACTAATGAAAACATTTTTCGTTTCCACTCATTTCGTCCGAAACCAATTTTTAGTCTCTGCACATGTCTAGTAATGTGTGTGTGTGTCTTGTTTTTATTTATTTTTTAGTATTTTATGTTTTTCCCTTTAGGGCGGGCTTTGGGGAAATATTATGGGTCCAAACAGACGTTTGACATTTCCGTTTTGAAATAGAAAAAGAGATTGAGCCCACAGAGTCCTCTGCCCATACTGGTGGGGGAGAGCAGCAGGGAACTGAGGAGAAACTGGAGCCTGTGCCACTCATCTTCTCCCTGCCGAGCTGCGGCTGTGTTGGCCGCCTGGTGCCCGTTGCCAATGGTGCCCTGTGCTCGCCATGGCAACAGGGGTGAGGGGGCGCTGCCAGGCCGGCCCTGGCTGCGCCCCCTCTCAGCTGCGCCTGACGCGAGTGCCTCACTCGCCCCATGGTAGCTACAGCCCTGGGTGTTACTGGGAGCAAAAATAAACCCCAGCATTGGTGGCCAATGGCAGTATTATTAAAACTCCTCTTTCAAGCTCATGGCAGTAATTAATCCCCCATCCCTCCTTTCCTTGATTGTCAGTGCAGTAATTGTTAAACCCCTCCCTTTCATTGGTGCCAAGTGGAAGTGATAATTAGCCCCTCCCCCCTTCATTGGTGGTGAGTGACAGTCATAATTAATTCCCCTACCCCCTTTCATTGGTGGTCAGTGGCAGTGATAATTAAGCCCCCTTCAATGGTAGCCAATAGCAGCAACAATTAACGCCCCTCCACCCTTCCTTGGTGGTCAGTGGCTTTCCCTACCAGATCACACGCTGCTGCTCTATGTCCTCTCTCCTCAGCATTTCGGCCTGGGACTATAGTTCTACAGCCAGATGGAGATTACACCACCACCATTTTTTCTGGGCCTTGTGCTGGAATGCAAAGTGTACCTGCACCTGGCACCTTGCTGCCACTCTGCACTGGCATTAAGTGTCCTTGGTCCTGCAGGCACGCCATGGGGACATGAACACTGCAGGTCCATGTCCTAAATCCTGGACTGTCCCACAAGATATTGACAACTGTGTGACACTTGACAACTATGTGAGTATGGTACATGTTACTATGGAAAGAAAGTCTGGAGACAGGTGGAATAAAAACCAATATGATAGATTTTATATAAATATATGTTGGAAAATATATTTAAAGAACCTTAAATGTCACAGAAATTCAGGAAATAATATATATATATCTGTTTCGCTAATTGTCCTTATGTCCTTTTTTAGAATATGCTTCTATCTCTGAGAAGAAGCAGAACATCCTGAACCTGTTGGCATGCTGGAATGATGAGGCTGCAAATAGCAAATCAGATTCTGGGTACCCTACTGGAGGTTCTGACTATGGATACAGGAATTGTAAGGAAATCAAGAGTTCAGACAGATATGCTAAAGGTGAGATGCATATTTTTTTAGCATGATGCATTATATACATTATGGAATACTAACAGTCAGACGTAGTAAAAAGATTAGGTCAGTAAAGTTTTTTGTTTTTTTTGTTTGCCGATGTTATTTATTACCTTATGTGGGATTGTAGTACACCCTATACTTAACGTTCAGTTTGTTTGGCATCATAGAAGTGACCTTGTTGCTCATACAACATAATTATTGATTTTCTTTCTAAAGCATCAGTGGTAGTTGCTAGAGCTGGTAGGCGTTGCTTGGGCAGCGTGGATTAAATAGGGTAGCGAGAGAAGAGATTTTAAAGAGGTGGGTTTTGAGGGGGATATATAAACATTATAAATGTGAGAGCATGTCTAACAGGGTAGGGAAAAGAATTGCAGAGAATATAGGATTACCTGAGAGAAACAGAAGGGGAGAAGGGGAGAATAATTAAAAAATGTACAGACAATACTAGAAATTTAGGTGGGAAGGTGAACTATGAAGTGCTTTAAGTGTTTCCACAGCATAGCCACAGCATAGGCAATATAGTTGAGCACTATAAATAGAGGAAGAAAAGACAGGA